AAGAAGGACTTAGACTTCGACGCCTTCTCCGCCTTTTTCACTACTCTAACTGAGCCAGGTTCACCATCGATCGGCAAGCCGAGAGAACGATCCTGGGAGCAACGCCAGGAGGTTGGCTTCGTGCACTCGAGCACCAAAAAGGCACCATCACCTCGCAGGGGCCTGGACATGCGCACTTTCACATAACAGCGGTTCATGGTTCAGTGTGGCTGGTCTCCGGAATCCCGGAACCGCAATCACACCCTGAGTCTTCGAGCTGAGGTTATGCGTCATTTAGGAGTCACGGTCCGGCCAAGGCTGGACAGCAGATTAGCTAGTTACTGCCTGGCAAGTTTAGTTTTGGACTTGCTGCAAGGAGTTTCCGGGTGCTTCGAGTTCGAGTTGGGGGTTAATTAAGGGTTTAGGTCTTGGTTCTCGATGTTCTCACGTAGGCTTTTTGGGCAACAGCTAATTGTAACTTGATCTGACCAGCTGCGTAGTATGGTGCCACTTGCCCCCATCGATATAAGCGCCTCAACTTAATTACCCCCCAAACCCTGAAGGCCCCGAAGCCCAAAAGCCCCAAACCCTGAGGAGGCCGAATTCCCAACCCCTCAATCTGAGAAACCCGATGCTTCAAAAACCATACTACAGGGTCTATAGGGATTAGGGTTCATGGTTCAGGGGCTTAGGGGTTTAGGGGCTTGGGGTTTTTGGGGTTAGGGTTTAGGGTTTAGGGAATACCTATGCGTCAGGATTCAGTTGTACTCTTCCTTCGGAGTCCCTCGATAACCTTGTACTCCAAGACGCTATTCTATGTATTCAGGCCCTTCTATAATCTTACTAACATAGATTTCTTAAAGGAGCCCTCTTTAAGGAGCCCTTCAAAGAAGCCCGAGATTCATTCAGGCCCTTGTAGCAGCCGGTGCCCTAAGATAGATGCCTGAACAATGAGTAATACCATTTCTTCGGGCTCCTTGGGAGTTAGGGTTTAGGGTGTAGGGCTTTTTGGATTTAGGATTTATAGGGTTTAGGATTTAGGGTTTGAAGGTTTAGTGTTTAGGCTTTAGGGACACGCAAACATAAACCGCGGAACCCTACTATTCTAATGATGAAGGCCTCTATATTCAACCTGAAGCCTTCAACTTAAAACCCATCCTTGCAGCAGCCAGCAGCATAGGCATAGGGTCTCCATTGTACTTCCTTTTTTGGTTTCACCTTTTTTTAAAAAAATTTAGGATGCTATAAGGTAGCCCCAAGAAGAACTACAGTGGAGACTGTAGGTCGTCATGCCCCACACACTCTTGGCTTGACTCTTTCTTTTGGCTCGTGTCAACGCAGCAAGGGAGCAACGGCTTCCTAGAACCGAAAAGCCTTACAAACTGAAGATATGCAGCCCAATATAGGGGCCTTAAGAATTAGAATATAGTTTCGGGGTATATTATACTATAGTGATAATCAGGAACCCCCAAAACCCTATTCTAATTATTATGAAGGCCCCCTACACTAGAACCCTCATCCTCGAAGCCTACAAGACCCAACACCCAACAACCCCTCTAAACTTTAGCCCCTCCCCCCCATACATCAAACTCCTAAAGCCGAACACCTACACAGACGTGGACCACTAACAAATCCTGAATCCCCAAACCTCATACCAAGCAACCCGGTTTTGGACCGAGAGCAGAAGCCTAATTCCCGAACCCGGAGACCATAAAGCTTTGGACCCGGATGGTTGGTGCCCTCTGCCGCAGGTCCCCGCTTCACGGGCTGTTGGGTTTTTTTGGGTTTAAGGACTTCAAGTTTATGCTTTAGGGTGAAAGGTTTATGGTTCCGGTGTAGGTCTTGCGGTTAAGTTTGGGGATTTAAGTTTTGGGGCTGAGAAAGAAAGTTCCATAACCCAAAGGGTCCTAAGTATCTCTATGGTGGAATGTAGGGTTGCTATAGTAGGAATTACTCTTGTGACTTGGGAAGGTATCCCGCATAGTAGTACCTACAACACTTTGGGAAGTCTGGTGTTTTCGACGTTCCTGGTCTTTGTCTAGGACATCTTCAGGTGGGTAGTTACCGCGATAGGAGCCTTATAGAGGGTCTATATATACCTTATAGAAGCCTTATGGAAGCCCTATATACCCTAAACTCCCCACCTGTAGTTTCCTTTAACTTTTCACAGGCTTCAGAACCGTGGGGGACATGGGATTGCTGCGACTCACTTGCAGGTTCCGGCCTCCCCCTAAAACCCAAGCCTTACAGCTTGGGACTCTGGGGAAGGACTCAGGTTTGGGCCCATGGCAATAGAGGTTTATAGGTAGGTCATAGATTCCAGAAACCCTAAGCCCTAAGCCCTAAACCCTAAACCCAGGACTTCCGAAGAGTTTTGAGAGGCCGAGTGCGATTGTTTAGGGCTGACAGGGATGGGGGTTCAAGACTTCCGTTCCCGCCCCCAACAGTGGAAGCTGCCAGTCTAAAGCCTACATAAGCCAGATCTCGGCGAACAGCTGTAGAGAACCACATAATCCCTACGACCAAAATGCTTTACTATAACATACTACACCAAGCTAACAAGATACTGCAACATACTGTATGTTTAGTATGCTGTGATAAGAAAGCTCTCTGATCCTTGCATGCCAGCCCACTGCGGCGTTTTGACCGGGAGATCTCTGCAGTGCTGGACACGCTGCTGGATGGCCAGCATCCTTAGCCTCCGGTCTTCCTTTTAATATGCCTTGACAATAAGTTTTAAGACAACCATCATCATCATCATCATCATGATTCTCATCATCTTCTTCTTCATAAAAATAGTAGCACTAGCAAATGTAAAACTCATCCGAATCATATTGCCTATAATTATGATGGGTATGCTTATGTTTGCTATACTGCTCATCATTATTCGTTTTGGGAAACTGTTACTATTTTCTTATGACAGCTGCGGACATAATGTCAGAATAAAACCCATAACACGATTACAATCAGCAATGCTACTCCATAGGGTGCCTTAGGGTACCCCAAGCCTCAGATGGGGCCTAAATCATTAGGGTTTAGAGTAATGCTCATCCATGGTGCCGGGGCGCTAACCCACAGTTGTTTTTTCTCAGTGTAGAGGCCCCTTCCTACTATAAAGGGTTCCTTATAAAGTGCAAGCTGTAAAGGCCCCTCTATTGAAGAGCCCGCCAGGTTCTGACTACAATGGCCTCTCTATGAAACGACTACAATGGCCCCTCTAGTACAGGAAACCCCTAGCCCCACCCCCTACACGGAAGACAGGGGGGCTTAGTAAGTAGAATGCAGTGACCAAGGGTCTGAAGATTGGGGTATCTTATACGATCAGTATTGAATTATTATAGCCTTAGTCATCTTAGGAATTGCGTTTTGGTTCTTGTTCATTAAGCTCCGCTGATTTTTTAAAAGACATTGTTGCAGTTTGGTTCCAAGGGCGCGCAAGAATATGGAGACCTACGGAATTGCATTGCTGAGTGCGGGCTTCTGTGGATATTGAAGGGCTTCTTAAGAAGTAGATTCTGTTTAGTTTAGTTTAGAACAGACCCTCCGCATCGAGCTTCAGACCCAGCTCCCAAAGCCCCAAGCTCCATAATGCAGAGGTCGCAAAGATGAACCATAGGGGTTTAGGGTTTAGGCTTTTAGGGTTTAGGGGTTTAGGGTTTTAGGGTTTAGGGGTTTAGGGGTTTAGGGGTTTAGGGTCTCCTTGTAGTCTCTCCATAACTTATTCAGGCCTACACCCTGAAGCGCCAAACTCCCGAAACACGAAGCTCCTTTCAACTTGTGCATTTTTTGAGAGGTCCGAACTCTAACGTCCTTAAACCCTAAACCTTAAACTTTAAACCCTACACCCTAAGCCCTATAAACCTTAAACCACGCACTTGGAGGGTTTCGGAGTGGGGGTCTCAGGGAGCTGTGCCCATCTGCACCTTGCACCTGGCTCAAAGAGGATACTTGGAGGTTCATGGGTAGTTATAAGTAAGGTTATAAGCCCCCTAATATGGGTTATACCTATAGTTACCCTACTTACAACCATGTGTGATCCCACAAGGACTTCTACGCCTTTTTTTGTAGGAGCTAGCAATAGAAAGAAGACCCCGGCCCCTCAAATCCAGTTAAGAGGTATCGTTGCTTCCCACCCGAATAGAAACAAACGACAAACCAGCGCATCAACATATTAGCAGAAGTATCATGTAGTCATATACAAACAGACAGAGTACACCGAGACGCACACGCACACACTTGTATAAGTACTTTTTGTTATTTATTACTTACTTTTTTCAGCTTTCAGTTGTCGCCTACACAACTTAAGACTCTGGACTCCGCGACCCTTGGACTGTCTACACCCCTACTACACCTAGAGCACCCTACACCCTGAACACGAAACTCTTAAAGCCCATAAGCCCAAACTTGAGGGCTGGTCGGACCTCTGGGCAACGAACCTTTGCGGTCATGATCGTGGCGGCTGAAATCGGCCATGGCCACCGATCAAGGCAAGCCTTAGATGAGCTGCTGCACGACTGCAAGGACGGGGTTTAGGGTTGTCAAGGCCGCTAAACCCTCCTAAACCCTTAAGGAGTCTACACGCATTGTATAAGGTTTCGGGGAGTTCGGATTTTGGGGGTTTTGGATTTGAATCTCGGGTCTGGGTCTCAGGGTGTAGGAGTTCGGGTTTAGGGTCCAGGGACAGGCTTTGTGTTTTAGGCGGCTTGCTGGCTCCCCTAAACCCTCAAGCCTATTTATCATTATTCTATCTATCTGATCAACCAACCATCTATCAAATCATTCACTATGCATCTATCTGTCTGTCAGTATTTCTGGAAAATTGGCAATTCATGCATCGGTCTGTCTGTCTGTCTGTCTGTCTGTCTGTCTGTCTGTCTGTCTGCATGCATAGACACATGCATACAAGCATATGCATGTATGTATGTGTATATATATATATACACATACACATACACACGTGCATAAATACATACACACCTATCACGCCGTATGAAACAGAAATGAAAGGCAACGACTCGCAGGACTTCTCAGGTGAGCTGCTGCGCAAAGTCTCGCGGGTGCAAGCGTTGAAGATGCTCGGCCCATGGCCTTCGCCAGATTTCAACGAGTGCTACAGGTTTAGGGTTTGGGGGTTAGGGGTTTAGGGTTTAGGGTTTAGGGTTAGGGTTTAGGGTTAGGGAGGGTTTAGGGTTTTCGCGGTTTGGGGTTTTGGGTTTAGGGGTTTGGGGGTTAGGGGTTTAGGGCTTAGGGTTTAGGGTTAGGGAGGGTTTAGGGGTTTAGGGGTTAGGGGGTTGGGGTTTAGGGTTTAGGGGTTTGGGGGTTATAGGTTCAGGGTTTAGGGGTTTGAGGGTTAGGGTTTAGGGTTTAGACGGGCTTTTATAGGCTTTGTGCGGGGTTTTCTTTCCTGAAAGGAACCGGGGTGCTGTGGCCAGGGTTTCATGCCTTCTAGTTCTTCAATAGGTCCAGTTACACCTATATTCAGGAATTTACACTAATTCTATTAGCAAGCCTTATTACATGAAGAGTCATCTGTTTTGAAAACATGAAGCTTGTTGATGGTGTAGGGCTAGACCGCCAAACTGTTTGGTCGTCAGCGTGGATTAGTTCACATAGTAGCTTTGATTGGATCCAGCCGGACCGAAAGATGGGTGTGTACTCTGCAGAGAGTAGCGGCGTCTTAACGGGCAGCAGATGCAACAGACAATAGCAGCCTTGAGCCCTAAACCCTCAACACCAAAACAGCTTTATACTAGGCACCAAAGGCTCTTCGGGCGTAGGGTTGAGGCTCACTACATGTCTGCACCCTAAGCCCTAAACCCTAAACCCTCCCTTGAGGCTCACTACATGTTTGCATCCCCTGTTTGCTGTTGCACTGCTTCTGGCCGAGGAGTTCTCACCCCCTGTCTGCTTGGGAGAGGGATGCCTGGCCACCACGTTTTCGGGATTTTCGGGGTCGGGCTTCGAGTCTATAGTTCGGGTTCTTCAATTTAGCACTATTACAAATCATATATGTATATATATATACATACACACATATATTTCTATATGCATGAGTATATATATATACACATGCATTGATTGTTGACACATATATATATGTGTGTGTGTGTGTGCGCGTGTATGTATGTATGTATGTATGTATGTATGTATGTATGTATGTGTGTATGTATGTATGCACAGGTGAATGGTTTATGTTTGTATATATATATATCACGCACACGCACACACACACACACACATGCTTCAGGCGTCGTAGAATAGGGCCTTTGACCTTTGGCAGTGGCCTAAGCCCTGTGAAAGGCCCCAAGGACCCAAAGCGCCAAAGGCTCACCTTCAAGCTTCAAGGGTTTAGGGTTTAGGGCTTCGTGGTATTAGGGTTTAGGGGTTAGGGTTTGGGGTTTTAGGGCTTTAGGGTTTTAGAGTTTAGGGTTTGGTAGTTAGTTAGACAGGCATCCCGCCCCCCACCATGAAAACTTCAGGCCTCAGAGCCCGGTTTTGTTTTGGCTCAGCCCGAAGCTTGCGCCGTACAGGATCAACCCTAAGCCGTAATTCCTAGATCTGAAGCCCTAAGCCTAGGCCCTAGGCCCTGCCGGCGCAAGTCCCTAACCCTATCGGTAACCTAAACCTTACACCCTAAACCTGGAATACCGCGAAGACGTCAGCTGCTAGAGAAGTGCATTAAACGGTTCAGAAATTTCCCTTAAGCGTTTGGAGTTGCGGCTGTCAACAGGGTGTCCGGGGGTTCCTGCACCGAGTAGCTACATTGGCGTCGAATTACCGGGTACATGGCCCCTCCTTCATCTCCGTTCAGGTTGGCCTCTGGGCAACCTTAAGGTGTGGGGTTTAGAATTTAGGGGTTACATAATGGCAGGCCCACAGAAAGTCTAATCCTTCGGAAGCTCACTTCGACATCGAAGCCTAAAGCTTTACACCCAGCCCCGGTTGCTAACTGCCACCCTTCATGGTGTCAGCATGACTTTACCCATGTAATAAGCAGCATTACCCGAATCCCCAAGCCTTCGGATTGCATTTGCGGTCTCAATGCCTTCCAATAGTAATCCCTTGGACCCTAGATCCAAATCTCCGAACTTCAGGAGTGGTGCTTATTGTCTCACAACTTCCTGGCGTTTTTCCCCTCGCGTGCTGACTTCGCCGTGCGACGGTGCCTTCTCGTGGCGGCGATTCAGGCTACCGGGGTTGAACGTTCCGCAGGGAAGTTGTCGAGCTAATAAAGCTAAAGGCTTAAGGTTTGGGGTTGAAGGTTCAATAGGTAGTTGCAAGGCCTGTAGGACGATTGATTGCTTGCGAGACGAATTAGGTTTGCATCGTTGTCCACATCGCCGAGATCAGTTTCCCGAATCATTCGGCCCTGCTAAGGAGCTTCGAATGCAGCCAGATCGCCGGACCTTGCGCCTATCCCTCGCAGGTGAGAGCAAGGAGGACACATCTGTTTTCAAAGCAGCTTCTGTTTTTTGCCTCACGTAGCATTGATGGCAGATGAAACTGTTTGCAATGATTTCCACAAATTTCGATATTGTGAGGAGAAATTTCGTAGATGCTCCATCTTGCTTGCCGCATGTCCTACATCCCTTGTTCCGACCCACACGACGGCACCTTGAATCCCGAGCCTGCGACCTTCAAACTGTACAGCGACTCTTGGGTTCCTGGAGGTTCCTGTAAAACCATGTGTTTTACATTCGTGCTTAATGAGGTTCCTTATGCCAGGCCTTCTTGCGGGCCCGACTCTCCTGAGGAGCTCGTGCTGCGCACGCCTTCAGAGAGCATCGAGACCTGGGCCGTCGAAATCGGGTGCAGCCGACGATTCTGCCTCTCCTGTCTCTCTTGCTCTATATATATGCACTGCGTATACACGCACTTGTATGTATGTATGTACGTATGTATGTATGTATGTATGTATGTATGTATGTATGTATGTATATATGTATGTGTGTATATATATGTATGTATGTATGTATGTATGTATGTATGTATGTATGTATGTATGTATGTATGTATGTATGTATGTGCCTGTCTGTCTGTCTGTGTGTATGTATGTACTGGTATGTAGGTATGACTATGTGCGATTATGTAGTGGTCGAGGTCGTGGTAGTGGCAGTGGTGTTAGTAGCGCAGTAGTCGTCGTCGCCGTCTTGGTCGTAGTAGTCGTCTCATAGCCGCAGCCGCAGCTGCAGTTGCAGTCGCAGTGCTGTCGCATAACACCGCCGTCGTGGTTGTTGTCGTAGTCGTGGGAGCAGGAGTAGGAGTAGAAGATTCTCTGCGAAGGCGGCGAATGGACACTCTCAGTGCTCACGGCCATCATCTCATCCCCTGTGACTCGCTGAGCATTGCTTGTAAGACTGTTCGGTATTAAGGAAGCCGAGCCTGCCCAGGCTAGGTTGTAGACTCCAGCCGTGGCAAGACTTATACATGTCATTTCCCCCTTGTTCTCTCTCGTTTTTGTTTCTCTCTCTCTCTCTCTCTCTCTCCCTCCCGCTCTCTGACTCTCTCCCTCCCTCACGCCCGAGCCTGAAACCAGACAGAAATCGACCGTGCAATTTGGAGTCGTTTGGCTTTCAGGCCATAGAACCCCAACCCCAAAGCCGAAGACTAAGGCGTCAGCTTTTCCGATGCAAAGCATTGGACCCAGGACGCAGACGCTCGAATTCTCAACCTGAACTCCAACACCGGGGCCTTAATGACTATAGGATTCCATTGTACGGTATAACTTTACGGGGACTGGATGGGGATGTTTTTACCAGTTATCCAACCATAAACTCTGCGGCGAACACACCTGAGCTTTCCTGGTTTTAAGGCAAGCCAGCCCGAGGACCAAAGCCCCTGCTTGGTGTTTCCTCTCTGGTGCCATCTGTCGTACTTTTCCTCCGGGCGAAGGAGCTGGGAACCAAGATGCAAGAACAGGAAGAGGAGCTTTGTGCTCAGGCGCGGCAACGTTGTAATCCCTCCCATTGGGAACCATCTATCTTCGGCATCTTTGAGAGAGCAGCAACAGTTTGAAAGCAGGCTGCGACGCTTTGCCCAACCTTCCATGATTCAACCTAATGTAGGGTGGCGAGTTGTCAATTCACAGGTCTGCTGACCGACACTGATCTTGTCACAATCAGAGTCCTTGCGCCCACCATAATGTCTATGCATCGTATCAGTGTCACGATGTAGCAGCCGAAGGCATCAAGTAGTCATTACGTGCCAGAAAAGCATCCAAAGTCGTTTTTTTGCTTTCAGGTGGAGGACGAGAGTTTCGGTCAGCGGCTGCAGGCGGGCGGTGCAGCGTGTGGGGTTCGGGGTTCGGGGTTGCAGCCTTGGGAAGTGTTGAGAGTGTTTGTGGGTTTGATGGTTATATTGAAGCGATTCCTGGAGGTGGTGTATGCTGCAGAGAGCGAAGTTGTGTGGCAGTGATTAGACCAGCCCTAGCTTGGCCGTAGCACGTTGCACAGAGCTTTCGGACATATCGGTTGGTGTATTTCAGTGGGGAGCAGGCGGTGAATCAACCAGACCAGAAGAGTTCAACCATGACTCTACTCAGCGCAACCAATAAATTTCGGAGATCTGCACGTTTCTGTCATATGCCTTGGCCTCCCTAAGCCGCAGAAACCCTAAAATAACTGAAACCGCGAAGCTCGCCAACATCCAAACATCTTCAGACCCCTCAACCCCCCAAAAACTCTTAAATCCTAAAAGCCTGTAGCTCTACCCGGCAGTTTCCATAAACGAACGAAGCCCTCAATGCAATCCCGTCACTGAACACCCCCAAAGCGCCGATATGCCTAGGATGCGGCCCTGAGTGCAACAGCTTTGTGAAAACGACAGCATCTGAAGACCCTTCCCGAAAATGAACTGTGACCCGCAGATATCATAAGGCCTACACCACTAAACAGGAACCTTTGGATACATGAAGCCGCTACCTCGGCTACGCGGGTCCGTTTCTTCAGCAGACCCCAAAAACAGCAGGACCGGGAAGTCGAATGATCCTCTTTTGAGCAGAAAAGCCCGATTTTTTTATCCTAATCAATTAAACCCTTTAAACCCGAAACTCCTGAACCCTAAACCCCCGAAACTTCAGATCCTAAGCTCCTCGAAGCGGAAGCCCTCGAGGCCGCCGCCGCGCTGCTGCGATCGGCGCTGCTCCGCTCGCGGGGTCGGGCCGGGTCCTTGCCGTTTAAAGCAACCAAAGCTGAATAGTTTAGGGGCCTATAGGGGTTTAGGCGCCTTACTTTTTAAAGCAACCACAAGCTGAATAGTTTAGGGGCGTTTAGGGGTTGAGGGTTTTGGGGGTTTGGGGGTTTAGGGGTTTAAGGGTTTATGCAAGCAGTCAGCAGA